ACGTTATAAAGGTTTCCGGAATAATGAAAAGAAGTACCTCGTATTGCAAATGATCTGTTAATAAAACCTCGTTATTATGCCAAGGTAATAATGAAAAGAAGTACGGAACATAAAACCTTTATTTCAACCCCTATGCCAAGGTTTCCGAATAATGAAAGAAGTACGGTACCTCAACCCTATGTAATTGCAAAATGATCTGTTAATAAAACCTCGTTATAAATGTAACCGGAACATATTTGTTCAACCCCTATGCCAAGGTTTCGAATAATGAATGAAGTACGGTACCTCGTATTGCAAATGATCTGTTAATAAAACCTCGTTATAAATGTAACCGGAACATATTTGTTCAGCCTCAGTTTGAAAGTGCCCGGATAAACGAGGAAGCACTGTAAATCCTTTTGTAAATCATGAAGAAATAAAGCCTCCTTATAAACCTAGCCAGAACATAAATCTTCAACCTCTGTTTTATGGTGTGTGAAGAATCAAGGACTCTATATCGTTTTGCGAAACATCTGTGTATAAAACATCGTTATCGATGCATCTGAAACACATTTATTCAACTCCAGTTTCAAAATGTCCGTATAATCAAGGAGGCAAAGTACTTCGTTTTACAAATCATCGTTAAATAAAACTTCGTTATAAAGGTAGCCGGAACAATCTGAAGGTGTTCGGATAATCAGTGAAGTACGGTACCTTGTTTTGCAAATAATCTGTGAATAAAACCTTGTCATTAATGTAGCTGGAAAATATTTCATCAACCCTTGTTTCAAGGTGCCCGGATAAACAAAGAAGCACTCTACCTCGTTTTGCAAATTATGTGGGAATAAACCTCGTTATAAAGATAGGCAGAAGAACCAACCACTTTTTCAAATATCCGGTTACTCAAAGAAGTCCTGTATCTCGTTTAACAGATCATGGGGAATAAAACCTCGTTATAAATGTAGCTGGGACATACTTGTTCAACCCCTGTTCCAAGGTGACCGGATAAAAAAGGGAGTACAATACCTCGTTTCGTAAAACATCTGTAAATCAAACCTCATTATAAATGTAGCTGGAGCGTATTTGTTCAATACCTATTTCAAGGTGCACGGATAATCAAAGGATCTCTGTACCTCGTTTTGCAAATCATCTGTGAATAAGGCCTCGTTTTCAGTGTAGCTGGAACATATATCACCTGAGAATAAAACCTTGTTATATTATTCGTAGCTGACTATAGGGACAATATAATAAACACAATTCCGAAAGAAAAGTAATATACAAAAATCTATAATTATGAATGTAAATGGCACATATTTTTTCCAACCCTGTTTCTAAGGGATGAGGAATAAAGGAAGCCTTGTACATCGTTTCACAAATTCTCAGGGAATAAAACCGCTTTATAAAGTTAGAGAAAACATATTTTTTTCAATCTTGGTTTCATGGTGTCTGCATTATCGTGGAAGCACTGTACCTCATTTTACAAATCCTCCTCTGGGAATAAAACCTCGTTAGAAACGTAACTGACTATAGCACCCAATATAATAGGCATATTTCAGAAAAAATAATAGAAATATCCTGCAACAAAATTCATTCTACGACAGTCAAAATTAAATATCTTTCAACAGAGTGCTTTTACTTGAGCGTTTGGGATGCCAGCAATATGGCGTCTTGAATTCAACCCCAGAAATGAATCAATTACAACAATTCTTTGTTTTGTGTTTCCTTTTAAAGGAAACATCGTTATGAGGAAGCTTAATATTGTAACAAGTTAGTAAAAAAATTAAGGGGAATTTGTTTCGTATTTTTTCAATTGTTCATTGCACTGTTTTGTATTTCGTTTCACCTGCGTTTCTCATTTTGCTTTGTATTTCGTTTCACCTGCGTTTCTCATTTTGCTTTGTATTTCGCTTCACCTGCGTTTCTCATTTTGCCTCTGTTTAATATATTTGCATTCTTTTACGTATTTTTACTCGTTGCCGATTTTTGCTAATGTTTCGTCTTTTTGCTAAAGTTTCTTATTTTGGCCACTGTTTCGTATTATTTCATTTTATATATTTTTACTGTTTCGTATTTTCGCCTACTGTTCTAAAATTTTCCGGTGTTTCTTATTTTTGACAATATTTTTGTTTATTTCGTATTATTGCTAATAATTTATGTATTTTTAAATTGTTACCAAACCTAAATTGTGCACAGTTTTTATTCAATTACATGTAACTTTCTTTTAAATATTTCCTTCACTAACTAAAAGAACATATATTCAGAAAAAGTTTGTAAATATCTTCATCTGATAAGATTCTGATAGCGAATTAAAATGTAAGTCATTATATTTAATTAACAGAGTAAGAAACTGGAACTTGTACAAATGAATGATTACTAAGGATGGTGGTACAAATGTCGGCTCACTGTATTGCTCTAATAATTACCTGACTCCTTCTGCTAGCCTCTAAATTTTCAAGAGAGAGAGCAGGCTGAAAATGGAGTACTCTTGTCATATTTGGGCGGAAACTGCCCAGATCTCACTGTCCAGGCTTGATAGAGTCCAAAAGCGTCTCCGAGTTTTTGTGGGTGACGAATTATTCCCCACCCCAACCTCTTTCCTGCAGGCGAGATTTGGCAAGCCCCTCAAGTTTTTATGGTTACGGAAATCGCTCGGACTAACTACATTCGCTGGTCCCGTCAGTTCAAAACTTCACAGCAAGTACACTCCATGCCACTTACATTGTAGCAAATCACCGACATTCTCTCTGTATTTCATCGGTGAGAAGTAAGTTCCACTCGAACAGCTTATTCCCGCTAACCACTGCCCTGTGGAACCAACTCCCAATAGGATGTTTCTCCTATCGCTACAATCTTAACCTGATCAAGTTTATAGTTAACCGTTGCCATTGCCTCCTATGCGTACAAAATGACTCCTAACGTAACCCTCTAGCTCGAGTGACCCTCGGGCCTTGTACAGGTTTTATTCGTTTCAAGACATTTTTATCATTGATTTTAGAAAGTGGTTGTATATAGCTGATAGTTTAGATATTTCGGAACGTGTTTGATATTATGAAAGGCATCGATATGAAAGTCTCGAACAAACGAGCCTATTTTAGAACATGACTAGAGTTTTCGGGTTATTTTTTGGCTTTATACTTTGTTTGTGATCCTGTAGCGCCAGACAGCGGGGCTCAAAGATCTTCTCTGAGACCCATGAAACAGCCTGTCGCCTCTGAGTGTTGACTTCAATGTTCACTTTTATATTTATATTTACATACGCTCTCTCTCGGATATTGAGCACTTTATCCCATAAATATAGCACACCCTAAAATATATATTTCTTCATATGTATATATATATATATATATATATATATATATATATATATATATTAATTTTGTTAAAATTAAAAAAAGCATAAACTTCATATATTATCATTATTATTATTATTATTATTAAATTAAAGAATCTCTATTCGACCTGTGAGTATCAGATTCTCTAGACCCTCCTTTCTCATTACCTGTCCCAGAAATTTCAGCTGCCTCTTCCTGGTGTTAAGTATAAGCTTCCTCTTTATATATATATATATATATATATATATATATATATATATATATATATATATATATATATATATAAATTTTAATTTAATTAGAAAACGGACAACATTAAGTGTCCATAAATCATATTTTATTTCCACAGGAAGGTTTTTTTCCCCTCTGGTTCCTCAGATTATATTTCCAAGTATAAAAAAATAGATTTAAATTTATGTATTATTTTTATAGACTTTTGAGGGGTAGTTTAAGTTGATGTAAGGTGACAGAGAGAGGGTGAGTCAGTGGTCGAAATTAGAGAAGGTGGGGAAGGTTAGGAATAACTTTCTAAGAAATATTGATATTATGAGTTGTTTAGGTTAAGGAAAATCTATTTTGATTTAGACGTGGTTGGGTTTTAATTACCCGAGACAGTTACTTACAAAGTGAAGTTAACTTTAGGTCGGGTGGGGGTGCCTGCTAACAAACGTATACTTCTGTTATTCAGTGAGTCTTTTCTTTCTTATTATTTTAACATATGTAATTATATATATATATATATATATATATATATATAAAAATATAGAATTCATATATATTTTAAGACATTTTTATGTTTATACATTCTTTTTATAGATACATATATTTAAATAAATACTCTGTTTATAATAAACAGTATTAAACAACGTTTACCGGCCAAGAAATTATCACAGAAAATATTCTTCCTCCGACAGGAATCGAACCTGTATCCTATACGGAACCGTCATATAGCATGATGTGCCTTTAACCGATTTGGCCACAGAGGAGCGATCGGTTAGCAAGATCGATTTTACTGCCTTTAACGATCCTCTGAGTCTCAAAGTCTTATTGTTGCATGTTATTGTTGTACGTTTTATTCATTTTCCTTTCAGAATAAAAAAGAAAAAAATCTTCTATCAACCACTAATACATGTAACACATTAACATACCCAACATTTGACCCAGTTACATATCTATAATCTTTGACCTTCTGTGGTCCTTATCTCCATCAACAACATTCTTGATGTCATAAATTCTCATTTATGTTGATGACAAAGATTTACTCTTGTCTTAATAACAGTCAGACAATGTGGCACTACCAGCGTATTATGAAAATGGCCATTAATCTGTTGTTCACTCGGACAAGAAATAGTTTTTAAATTTAAATTGTTAGCGTCTTCAAAAAACGAAATTGCTCTCTATTAGTTATCACAGAGACATTAATCCATGGACTTGAAAGGATTAAAAAATGGACTTCATTTATATATATATATATATATATATAGATAGATAGATAGATAGATAGATAGATAGATAGATATATATATCCGATATTGATCTCTTCCCTATTAAGATGCGTATGCATGATATATATAGACAAAGATAGATAAATCGGAGACTGATAAATGCTTCTGTTCATATCTGTTTATCAGTCTCTCGTTTATCTATCTTTGTCTATTTCGATGTATATGCATTTTGAGTAAAATCTGCTCAATACCGGAGAGAGAGAGAGAGAGAGAGAGAGAGAGCGTTTATAGATTGGAACTGTGAGGACATAGCATGTTGACTGTTAGTTTCACGTTAACGATTTTAAGACTATTTCCGAAGATAGGAGATGGTCTGTAGATCGCAGACAGACACACACATAGATAGATAGATAGATAGATAGATAGATAGATAGATAGATAGATATGATCAGAGAATGAGATAGATAGATAGATAGATAGATAGATAGATAGATAGATAGATAGATAGATATTAATGAGAATGGAATAGATAGATAAACAGGTATAAACAAACTGATAGATAGATAGATAGATAGATAGATAGATAGATAGATAGATAGATAGATATTAATGAGAATGGAATAGATAGATAAACAGGTATAAACAAACTGATAGATAGATAGATATGATAGATAGATAGATAGATAATGATATAGATAGATGAATATGATCAGATATTAATGATAGATAGATAGATAGATAGATAGATAGATAGATAGATAGATAGATAGATATTAATGAGAATGGAATAGATAGATAAACAGGTATAAACAAACTGATAGATAGATAGATAGATAGATATGATCAGAGAATGAGATAGATAGATAGATAGATAGATAGATAGATAGATAGATAGATAGATATTAATGAGAATGGAATAGATAGATAAACAGGTATAAACAAACTGATAGATAGATAGATAGATAGATAGATAGATAGATATGATCAGATAGATAGATAGATGAGATAGATAGATATTAATGAGAATGGAATAGATAGATAAACAGGTATAAACAAACTGATAGATAGATAGATAGATAGATAGATAGATAGATAGATATTAATGAGAATGGAATAGATAGATAAACAGGTATAAACAAACTGATAGATAGATAGATAGATAGATAGATAGATAGATAGATAGATAGATAGATATGATCAGAGAATGAGATAGATAGATAGATAGATAGATAGATAGATAGATAGATAGATAGATAGATATTAATGAGAATGGAATAGATAGATAAACAGGTATAAACAAACTGATAGATAGATAGATAGATAGATAGATAGATAGATAGATATGATCAGATAATGAGATAGATAGATATTAATGAGAATGGAATAGATAGATAAACAGGTATAAACAAACTGATAGATAGATAGATAGATAGATAGATAGATAGATAGATATGATCAGAGAATGAGATAGATAGATATTAATGAGAATGGAATAGATAGATAAACAGGTATAAAACAAACTGATAGATAGATAGATAGATATAGATAGATAGATAGATAGATAGATAGATATTAATGAGGAATAGATAGAATAGATAAACAGGTATAAACAAACTGATAGATAGATAGATAGATAGATAGATAGATAGATATGATCAGAGAAATGAGATAGATAGATAGATAGATAGATAGATAGATAGATATTAATGAGAATGGAATAGATAGATAAACAGGTATAAACAAACTGATAGATACATAGATAGATAGATAGATAGATATGATCAGAGAATGAGATAGATAGATATTAATGAGAATGGAATAGATAGATAAACAGGTATAAACAAACTGATAGATAGATAGATAGATAGATAGATAGATAGATAGGAAAGCAGTATACCTCTTCACTGTTTTGAGCCCCGACAGAAAAACTGGCAAGTAGTATTCAATACCACCAAAACTAAGCTAGTAACATTTCACCTAGCAGTGCGTAAACCTTCACCAATCCTGATTAAGGGCCATCACCTCAAAGAGATCAGTTGATTTAAACGTCTACTGGATCTAAATCCCAATGGAACACGTAACATCGTGTCATAGCAAAAAATGTAAGAAGAATGTTGGGTTCCTAGAATCGCTTCACAAATTTCCAAATTCTGGTGCCATGCTTTATCTTTGCAAAAGACAGATCAGTATAAGATATATCTGAACTGCTGCTATCTGGTGTCTGAACCATTCCCGAAAGAGTTCTAAATCGATTACGTAACCTTGTAGGTGATGGTTATTCTCCAGCCTGCAATGTTTATCCCACAGATGAAATGGTACTAGCCTCACACTAATTTGTCGCTATTGCTATAGCAGACGTTCGGATGAGTTAAATTCTTTGAAGTCCATCAGCTCAGACCTTCAAAACAAGGATCCGAGATAGTATATTGCAAATCATCCGTCTTTTCTTGGTGTTCCTTTGATAAGGAACAATTTCGATTTAGGCAACTTTCTGGTACAAACTCCCGAGAGAATGCTTTCCTGACAAATAAAACCTTGCTTCTCTTCAAGTACACGATCAACCTAATGTATCTTACAGTCAGATCATTTATATGTCATGCGTGATACACGGTTAGGTGATCATGTATCGTTCGATACATGACTGACGAGGCAGATTTTTCCCCGCAGTAGGTTGCCATTTCTTTCTTTCTGCGGTAGACCAGTTGCCATCTAAGGCTATAGAACCCAGTCTGTTATGCTATTTACCCATAGCTGAGGGGAAAAGAAAAGGACTCATACTATTCTCAAAGGTATTAGCACGTAAGTGAATATAACGGATTCGACTGGAATTCGAACTCGGCTCTCCGATTCCTCAATCAGAGACGCTATCCATTACTCCACCGTGATTAGATATACGTAAATAATTTCATTGAAATATAGGTATAGTGGATGGCACAAAGCTGAAAATATCCAAATATTTTTGCAACCAATTACACTGTTTACATCGTCCGGACTGTTATCATCTTTATTGCCATGTTAACGACGTTTCGGCCATTGCAGCTCCGACCTTCTTCAGGTGATATACGTTAGAAATTCGAACCGAGCTCTTTATTTAGTTCACGGGGGGGGAAATTGTTCTAATTCCATGTCCCATACTGTTTTTGGATATCTTAGTTTCAATTAATTCCCTTTAGTAACTCGGCTCTCCAAATTTTTGATCCTCCGCTGTAGCCAGGTATTGAACTCTTAACTCTTTGGGTTAAGCCACATGGCTCAATGGATAAAAATGTTGATTGGGTAATCTATTTGTAAGAAGGACTTTCCTTTCGAACATCTTCCCAAGAATTCCTGCTTTGTGCAACATATTCCTGAGAGAATTCTTCCCTCACCGCTATAATCTTAATCTCTTCGAGGGTCGACCGTTATCTACCCTACCTGCTGTAACTGGGAACTAAGGAAATAGAAGCACCGTTTCAGCTCTTCTTCAGAAACGGACATGTTGTGGGTGGTTATTCACTCACATCAAAACAGCAGAAATTAACCTTGTATTCACGTAGATAAAAGCATCAGTTCACTTATGTGCCATGCGCGATAAACGTTTAGGTGATCATGTATCTTTCGCTACATCACTGACGAGGCAGATTTTTTCCCGCAGTTGGTTGCCATTTCTTTCTGAAGTAGACCAATTGCCATCCGAGTCTATAGAACCCGGTCTGTCCTGCTATTTACCCATAGCTGGAGGGGGAGAAGAAGATGATTCATACTTTTCCGAAGCGTATTAGCACGTTAACGAATGTAATTGATTCGAATGGAATTCGAACTCGGCTCTCTGATTCCTCAATCCGAGCCGCTATCAATTACAGTGCCTCCATTTACTCAACCGCGCCTCCTTGTGCCTTACATATCATCATAATTTGAACTTCTTAATTTCTCTATGCCCACGCTAACCTTCTACCTTGAGTGGTTCTTGAGCCTTTAATAGGCTGAACTAACCGTTTAAAAAATAAAACATGGATAAATCTCAAAGAGGGGATGGAGATTTAAAGATATATAGAAATGAGATGAATATATATATATATATATATATATATATATATATATATATATATATATATATATATAAATTGATTTTCTATGCGTAGTTTACATGTGAAATAACGCCAAATGAATAGAGCACCCAGTGAGGAGCGAACTCACTATTCAGTCGAAACCGTTTTGGCGAGAGAAGGTTGCTAACCATTACGCCACGCCAAGGTGCCCCAAACGAACTTCTAAGCGTAGATTAGATGTGGCACCCGAAAGTATGAGGCACCCGGTGAGGATCGTACTCACTACTCAGTCGTAATTGTTCTAGCGTGACAAGATTGATAACCTTTACACCATGTTGAAGTATCCAAAATGAATTTCTTAGATTTAGCACCAAGCTGAAAGTATGTGGCACCCAGTGAGGATCGAACTCAATAATCAAAAGTAATTGATCTAACGAGACAAGCTTGATGACAATTACGGCACGTCGAAGTGCCCCTGGTGATTTTCTAAAAGTAGTTTAGATTTGGCACAAGGCCAAGGCCGAAAGTATGGGGCACCCAGTCGTAAGTGATTTAGCGAGATAAGCTTGTTAACCATTACACCACGTCAAAGTGTCCAAAGGTAATATTCTAAGCGCAGCTTAAATTTGGTAGAAGACCGAAATTATGGGGCACCCAGTGAGGATCGAACTCACTATTAAGTCGTAATTGTGAATGCATAGATATATATATATAAAGCAAGATATATAGATAGGAGCTGATTTAAAAAGAAAGAAAGAAATAGATAGATAGATAGATAGATCGATAGATAGATAGATAGATAGATAGATAGATAGATAGATAAGAAAAAAATGAGAAAAAAATTCCTTTCGAAGAGAAAATCCAGTTGGTGCCTGACGAGTGCGTGCGCCATTGGAACAGCTTTTTGCATTTGGCATAGGGGCAAAACATCTTACCCTAGACTTGACAGAATCTGAAACATGGTCGTCACTCGCCTCGGGCTTTCTCTCGAGTTTATTGCGTTTCACGCAATTTGCCGCCTTGCTGGTTGCCATGGGAACGAAATCAACAGGAGACTAATAGATCGGAGATGAGAAGCAGGACGGAGGTGGCATTGTTTGAGGGCAGAATCCGAAATAACTGCGTTTAAATGGAGGAAGATACACTGCGTGACAGGGTGGAGGCGACTTACAAATATGGAAATCAAAAGAAATCAAAGAAGAAGTATAGATTAGAAAAAGATAAAGATCTGACGTTAGTCTTGGATTTAGTCTGTGTATTTTCTGTCGTCTTGTACATATTAAGTTATGAAGAAATGTCCGCATGTACGTATAATGTGACGTTTAAATGTATATATATATATATATATATATATATATATATATATATATATATATATATATATATATATATATATACTCTTCAAATAACCTAAACACCGAAAAATAACCCTAAACGTATTAACCTACTATACCGTAATCAAATGCATCCTAACTATGGCAGTTACAATAAGTTTGTAATTTACCCTTGAAGATGATCTTGGAAATGATCGAAAGTACTTGGGTTAGAAAAATAACACACACACACACACATATATATATATATATATATATATATATATATATATATATATATATATACAATTTATATGTATATATTATTTATATAATATATATGCGCGGTACGTATTGGAAAGCACTCAATATCAGTGATAGAACTAACATATTTAGATGGATTGATTGACTTGTCTATCATAAATAGCGTGACACTCACGGTCACAAACTCACATCAGTCCAACTAAACATATATATATATATATATATATATATATATATATATATATATATATATATATATATATATATATATATATATATGTCGGTCTAAACCGGTCTGTAAACATCGAATAATTTAAATGAATCAGTCCCAGAAATGATTTTTTTTTCAAATATGTCGGGAAATTTTTAAAAGAATTAAAAAATTCATCCAGCTTATTATATACAATCATCAACAGTATTATAAAGTTTGAAAGCTTTAAAAAACCTTCAGAAACAAAAACAAACAAAAAAACCGAATTGGAATTCGTCGGCAAGATGCAGAAGGGAATCATCAACACAACGTTTGGTAAAAAAAAAAATGTATTTCTCTTTCTCTTCTCGCTTGATATAGAAAAACATTAGTGGCGTGATCGTCACACATTTCTTCTGTATTCCATTTGTAAAGAAGGAGTTCCACTCAAAGCTTCTTTTTCCCCCCGTAAGAAGCTATTCCGTCGAATAAAGTGCCGCGGAGACGCTTCCTTGAACACTTCAAAATTAACCTCTTCAAACCATAGGCCAATTCTTATCTATCCTCCTTATCCTCATAGTCTTCGCATAGTTCCACCTTATTTTACATTCATATCACACGTTTCTATCATGAGACGCTTTGAAAACTCTTATCGGGTGAACTTATGAAAACGCTAACAAAGAATTTTTCAGGGAATTCATCAACTCAGAACAGAAATCGTTATGACATGTATGAATGCACAATTCATTTAAAAGACGGTAAAAGTCATAGACATTTGGTAGAAATATCTGATGACTAATTAATAATTTCATGAATTTATATCGATTTAGAATTATTACTTTATTTTTAAGATCCTATGAATTAATATGAATAAAAAAGAGGCAACCGGACGTTTGGCCACACTGTTGAACTGTGATACAGCGAAACAGTCTGTCTCTTAATGATAATAGATAAATAGATATTCATGTTAAATATTGGTTATAATGATGAAATTCCTAAAAAAAAAAATGCCTCAGTCAGTCCGATATGTGCCATGCGTGGAACACGCTTAGGCGATCAAGTATCGTTCGATACATGACTCACGAGGCAGATTTTCTTCCCGCAGTAGGTTGCCAGTTCTTTCTTCGCTAGACCAATTGCCATCCAAGTCAATCCGGTCTGTTCTGCTATTTACCCATAGTTGGGGGGAGAAGAAGAAGATTCATACCTTACCCAAGGGTATTAACGCATAAATGAATGTACTAAGAATGAATTTTATTGAGAATGTGTCGTAACGCTGAAATTCCCAGAAAATGTGTGCGACGGGCGAATTTTCTTGAGAATGGATTGTAAAGCTGAAATTTCTACAAAAAGATTCTTAAGGGTGATTTTTCTTGTGAATGGGTCGTAATGCTGAAATTCCTCGAAAATGGATCTACGGTTGAATTTTCTTGAGAATGGGATGTAAGGGTGATTTTTCTAGAAAATGGATCCGAGAAGCGACTTTTTTCCAGAATGGATTGGAAGACTGATATTCCTAGAAAATGGATCCTCCGGATGAATTTTCTTAGGAATGGATGGTAATTCTGAAATTCCTAGAAAGGGTGTCATAAGGGTAAATTTTCTTATGAATAGGTTGTAATGCTGGAATTTCTAGAAAAATTGTACTCAGCGTGAGTTTCTTGAGATTGGGTTGTAATGCTGAAATTCTTAGAAAATTGATCCTACAGGTGAATTTTTTTCTTGAGAAAAGGATCGTAATTCTGAAATTTCTTGAAAAGGTAACCTAAGGGTGAATTTTCTTGAGAAAAGGATCGTAATGCTGAAATTTCTAGAAAAGGTAACCCAAGGGTGAATTTTCTTGAGAAGAAATGCTAATTCTTCATTTTTCTTATTGAAAATGCTGTATTAAAAAGAATTTGTCGGGGAAAAATATGTACCAACTTTAGAGATTGTAAACAATTAAGCGACAATGGAAATTACATTACTAATCGACTGGCCCAGGCACATTAGGAAGAATTTCTGTCTTTGTATTGTCAATGAAAATGTTAGGTGTTGAGACAGCCATGGAGTGTCGAAAAGAAAAAGATTTCAAGTCCTAATTCAAATGATAAAACCTGTGAGATCGAATAGTCGGCCTCATTTAAACGAGATTCATAAAGGAAATCTTTTGAAATGGGCAACAGTATGCAAGAAGACCGAATTTACAACTATTAATTTCCCCGATGTTTGCAGCGTTTGGTTGGACTTCTGGGTTGGGTGGCTACTGGTGGAAATCTTTCTCCCGGGTTGGAATATCAACAAGAAAGAAAGAAGGAGTGAATTAATTAATTAGATGACTCGAAAGAAAAAGAAAACGGAGAAACCATTCGCAAAATTTATGTGCTCAAAATGGATGAAAGAAAGTAAAAATGACTGTTGGAATAAAGAAAGAAACAAAGAAAGAAAAAGTGAAGGAATTAATGTATAAGATGATTTGGAAGAAAAAATACAGAAAAAGTTCCCGAAATGTATGTCAGCAAAATCGACGAAAGAAAAAAATCATAACTGTCGTAAATGAAGAAAGAAAGAAAGAAACAAACAAACAAACAAACAACGGAATGAAGGATGGATAAGTGAATGAATGACTGGATAAATTACATGACATGGAAGAGAAATAAGGGAAAAATTATAAAATACGCAAAATTGAAGAAAGAAAGCATAATTGTTAGATGAAGAAAGAAAGAAAGAAAGAAAGAAAGAAAGAAAGAAAGAAAGAAAGAAGGTAGGAAGGAAGAGTGAATGAATGACTGGATGAATTAGATGATATGGAAGAAAAATAAAGGAAAAACTTTATATGCGCAAAATCGACGGAAGAAAGAAAGCATAATTGTTGGAACGACGAAAGAAAGAAAGAAAGAAAGAAAGAAAGAAAGAAAGAAAGAAAGAAAAAAGAAGCAAAGAACGATCTATAAGCAAGGAATTCCACCAAGTGCAGACGAAGGAATCAGGTAATAAGTATGCAAATATTAACATGAAAGATGGAAGCGATAAAAAAAGAATTTCAAAGCAAAATGTGTGCAAAGAAAAAGGAGGTTGGGAGGAAAAAAGAGAAACTAGAAAGACAAAGAAAGAAAGAAAGAAAGAAAGAAAGAAAGAAAGAAAGAAAGAAAGAAGTGAATGATATAGAATGAGATAAAGTAACATAACATCTAAAAACAAATAAAGAAAATGGTGAATGAGAAAAAGAAAGAAGTGAGCGGAAGTAGAAGAAAATAGGCGAAGGAAAAAAGAATGAAAAATATGAAAAATACAAGAAATGAAGTAAATAAGAAAGAAAATGCGATAGAAAACAAGAAGGAAATGAGAAAAAAAGAAAGAAAGAAAGAAAGAAAGAAAGAAAGAAAGAAAGAAAGAAGAAAACATAAAAAAGAAAGAAAGCATAAGCGAATGAAAACATGATGGTAAATTTGAAAGAAAGGGAGAAAGAAGAAAATGATAGAAAGAAAAAACGAAAACATAAAAAGAAAAAGAAAGAAAGAATAAGAGAAGGGAAACAGAATGGTAAATGTAGAAAGAACAAAAGTAAGAAGGAAAGACAAAATCAGAAAAATTAAAAAGAAAGAAAGAATAAGAAAATGAAAAAGAATGGTAAATATGAAAAAAAAAATTAAAGAGTGAAAAAGTAGAAAACACTAAAATAATAGCGAAAGAAAGTATAAGCGAATGAAAACAGGATAGTAAAGGAGAAAGAAAGAAAGAAAGAAAGAAAGAAAGAAAGAAAGAAGAATACACAAAAAATAAAATGAAGGAAAGAATAAGCTAATGAATATAGGATGGTAAAAGGGAAAGAAAGCAAACTAGAAAGTAAGAAAGAAAGAATGAAAAAAGAAACGAAAAATAAAAGGAAAGAAATAATAAAACGAAAATAGAATGCTAAATAAGAAAGAAAGAAAAGAAAGAAAGAAAGAAAGAAAGAAAGAAAGAAAAAGAAAAGAAAAGACAAAGAAAGAAAAAAAAAGAAAGAAAAAAAAAAAAAAGACAGAAAGAAAGAAAGAAAGAAAGAAAGAAAAAAAAGACAGAAAAAAAAAAAAAAGAAAGAAAGAAAGAAAGAAAGAAAAGAAAAGAAAAAAGAAAGACAGAAAAAGAAAAGAAAGAAAGAAAGAAAGAAAAAAAAAGAAAGAAAGAAAGAAAGAAAAAAAAAAAAAGAAAAAAAGAAAGAAGAAAGAAAAGAAAAGAAAAAAAAAGAAAAGAAAGAAAGAAAGAAAAAAGAAAGACAGAAAGAAAGAAAGAAAGAAAGAAAGAAAAAAAAAAGAAAGAAAGAAAGAAAGAAAGAAAAAAGAAAGACAGAAAGAAAACACCAAAAATAAAATGTAAGAACAAACGAGTGAAAACAGGATAGCAAGTGTGAAGGAAAGAAAGAAAGAAAGAAAGAAAGAAAGAAAGAAAGAAAAGAAGAAAGAAGAAAACACAAAACGTAAAAAGAAAGAAGAAGCGAATGAAATCACGATGTGAAAGAAAGAACCAAACATGGTCATGTTAAAGAAAGAAATAAACGATGAAAAACAGGATAGAATATCTGAACGAATAAACGAGCGAGGAAACGAACAAATAAAAGAACGAAGAAAAGAAAGAAAATTAGAATGATTATAAAAAGGACAGAAATCAACGCTGGATTGAAGGCAAAGGCCAGGCCACGAATGCGAAATAAAACTATCAACTGTTAAGACAAAAATAAAAATAAATTAACAAAATCGGGGAAAAAAAAAGCGACAAAGAAGAAATTCAAGATGGTTGTGTGAGGTCAGGTGGATGGTTTTGGATCAAGCGCCAATTTATAAGGGATTGTCGGAGGCACTGCGAGCGACTCGTAAGGAATGGTCGGTCGTTCTATAATGGAGTCGCCACAAGAGGTCATGAATTCTGCGATCGATGCTGTCTGACGGCCAAACTCAAGGAAGACATATGCACTATTAAAAGACAGGGAAACGTCAGACCGATGCATTGCCATGACGAATTAAGGAGAGCATCAAATTTGTCGATTTTTGAATACCCATTTGCATACAGAAATGACCACAAAATCATTCACTCAATATCTTGAATGTAGACATTAAACTATATACAAGAGGGTGCTGAAAGTTTCTCAGCCCAACCCATTTCCTAAAATATGACTAAAAAGATCATGCATCAATATTTGGTGGCGGTAATCCCTTTATGGTCAGCACCCACTCATATATATATATATATATATATATATATATATATATATATATATATATATATATATATATATATATATATATATATATATGAATGGAAGAGGTTATAGTAGTTCAAACGAGAGAAAAATGTGGATATTAAAAAAGAAGAGAGAAACCGCAAACGTTTTTGGTTGTGGATTTTTTAAAACAAATATTACGTTTTATTTTCCATAATTTTGCTACACGAGTTTCCGGTCTCGCGACCTTCATCAGGCAAAGCGTGGAGATTTCCACGTTTTATGAAATATAAATAATTTTTCTTATGTTTTTCGATGTTAAATATTCTCGATATCAGACATTTTCTTTTTAAAGATATTTGGGTCACTAACACACTAAAAAGAGAATCTCTCATATCTACTTTTTTAAAAAAAGTGTTGAATACAAAGTATAAGAATATATTATTATTATTATTATTATTATTATTATTAATATAAGAGATCATAATAAAAAAAACATGTTGAAATCGCTGCACAAAAGCATGAATATATTATATATATTGCTGTAACCTAGGAAGGGTTACTGAAAGTGGAATAAAGCAAAATGGATGTTGTAAATGAAATGGTAATATTTATTATATCAACAAATACAATACTCGCCAACGCCATGCAGTAGGTAAACCACTGCTAGCGGTGGACTACTTAGGCATCATATTACCCCCACTTGTAATAGTGTCCAACATATTGATGAGAATTGTGACATACCTATAGTGTTCAGAGGTAAGGTATATAACACACACACACACACAAACACACACACACACACACACACACACACATATATATATATATATATATATATATATATATATATATATATGGAAGCACAGTGGAGTAATGGATACCGGCAGTAAATATCAGGATAGTTTGTGTGCTATCATCTTGGGTGGCGAAATGTCTAGGAAAACATTAACTCCGAATTCAAAAGATGCATTCAGCTTTTCTTTGCATTCAGCTTTTCCAAAACGTGTTGTTGGTTCTGCACAAGCCTTCATCAATATAATTAAATGATATGGGCGCGTGGTCAGGCTTTTGCTTCTAAGAACTGAGCTGCTTGACACCCATTCATTGAAATCCACGAGAGTGTCCCGAGTGTGTGTGGTTTGTGTATAATGTTTATTAAAAATTATAACATAAGCATGTTATAAGATCATTAAAAAAATAGCCATTTTGTTTCAACACTTCCGGTATCTTGTCAAGTGATCGTGTTGATTGTTATGTTATAACATGCTTATGCTATAATGTATTGAGCATTTTTTTAAAAAAATAGTGGTTTTGGTTATCGGAATTTTATTCCATCTATAGCAACCCTATATACGCGTATATATATATATATATATATATATATATATATATATATATATATATATACACTCGACTCTCCCGTCGAATTCTACGTATGTGAGTCAAGCAGATCAGTTTCCAGGAAACCGGCAGCCCGACAACTGCACATGAGATTTGATTATAGTGGTGAAGGTTTTCGTGCTGGACTATCCACACTTTTGAAGGACCTGGTGCACTACGTGTCACAAAGTCCCCAAACGACCCTCCGCAGGTTTTGAATTTAGAGTTGTCCTTCTCTAGACCAGTTGCCATCCAAGGCTATAGAACCCAGTCTGTCCTGCTATTTACCCATAGCTGGAGTGAGAAGAAGATGATTCACACCTTTCCCAAGGATAATGGATTCGAACTCGGCTCTCCGATTCCTCAATCAAAGCCGCTATCCATTACCATATATATATATATATATATATATATATATATATATATATATATATATATATATATATATATATATATATATATATGTTCTCGGAGAGGTTTGGGCTCCGTCACTCTAACTTTCCCAACACTACTACGGCTGCAGTACATGTTGTGCCCTTACGACTTTTAGCAGCCTTCGGTATTAAAGAAAGAATTCCTGCTTGCTTCACTTTACGTGAAGAACGACACAACTCTCAAAGCTCTATTTATTTTAAGGGACACATATCCTCTTCGACCAGATTATTTTTTGCGAAAGATCTCGATTCTATCTTTAACTCAGTTTTTAAAATCAGATTTTATTTTTATTTATTTATTTTATATTATATACCTACATGTAGGCAATCAATGGACTTTTTAAAATTCGACTTTATTGGTTACTAGCTTAAAAGCCGCCGTATCGAATGGCATTTAAGCTAGCTCCTGCTTGTTGAGGAGTTTGAGTCTACCTAAGTCTTTATATATTCTCAGCATTGAAAGATCTCCTGGCTGCCATTTTGTTATGGTCCAAGTTTTTTGTACCACGGTGATGGTCCAAGGTTAGAACCAATGAAAGAATAACACGAATACAGGTATGGAATACAAATATATATTACAACAGAAATATAATACAAAGAAGTAGAAGTATTAGTAATAACTATCAGATTTGGTTAGAGTGAACTATGTTGTCTCGACAAGTATCACTATTCCAATGTCCTTACAATATGCTGTCAATTGATCTCTCCTCGTCTTACAATCTCCTCATACCTCTTGAGAGGTGCAGTATTTATAATGTCAGGAATAGTCCATTATTATTATGGGTAAGTTCCCATAACACATTTGATCTGGGTTCTCATTTGCATGGGATTTTTTTTTCCTCGCTGCAGCCTTGGCTCTTTTGATTGCAATCTGGTCCTCTGTTGGCGGAGATTTTTTTTTTTTTTTTTTTGCTGCTGCCATATGTGATAGGTAACAATAAACTACAGAAGAAAAAAATTGATCGTTGCATTTAAGTATTGCATTAATATTTAAGCTTACCTTTATAAAAGTTGAATGATAATTCTTCTGCTGCCACTCAATTTAAAGACAGTTTGATGTGCAATATTCTGTACAAACAATTATTTTTATTTCATGGGTGACCTTCGCTGGATTTCACAAATAATTTTGATTATTCCTAAATTTATTTCCAAGTTATAAAAATTGTTATTGTACAAAAATAATTGGTTAAAAAATCACCGAAAACAATCGCAATATTAGTGTTTGAACCTTATATATATATATATATATATATATATATATATATATATATATATATATATGTTTTTAAAAGCGCCCTATCGGGCAGCATTTATGCTAACTCCTACAGAGGGGTCTTAGTTGGTCTTTCGACTTGTTTGCATATTCTCAGCATTGAAAGTTCTCCTGGCTGCCATTTGATCTAAGTTCT